TGAACCGTTATTTACTACAGTAGCGGACACAGATTTTTTTTTAAAAACACAGTTATCTACTACATACCCTATAACAACCCTCATGAGCCCCTATCCCCCCAAAAGACACAGATAAAAAATATACGATTATCTAGTACAGTAACGAGATCTCTTTAAAACCACCACAGCCCCCACCCCTCACCCCCACATACAAAATGAACAGTTATCTACTACAGTAGCGGACCCAGATAAAAAATAAACAGTTACCTAGAACAGTAGCGGGATCCTTTTAAAAAACCCATGAGCCCCCATCCCCCTCCCCCCGCCGAAAGACACAGACAAAATTATAACAGTTATCTAGTACAGTATCGAGATCTCTTTAAAACCCCCATAGCCCCCCCCCCCCGCCCCCGGGAAAACACAGATGAACAAATGAACAGTTATCTACTACAGTAGCGGACACAGATAAAAAACAAACAGTTATCTAGTGCAGTAGCGAGATCTCTTTAAAACCCTCCCACAGGCTACCTCCCCCCCCCTCCTCCCCGGAAAGAAACAGATAAACAAAAAACAGTTATGTACTACAGTGGTGGACACAGATTAAAAAAACTGTTATCTAACACAAGAGCGAGATCACTTTAAAACCCCCAGTGACCCCCCGGAATGACACAGATAAACACATAAACAGTTATCTACTACAGTAGCGGACACAGATAAAAAGTAAACAGTTATCTAATACAATAGCGAGATCATTTTAAAAGCCCCAGAGCCCCCCCCCCCCCCGGGAACTACACAGATAAACAAATAAACAGTTATCTACTACAGTAGCGGCTCTGGTTGACCTTCATACACGAAAAATGCTTATCATGAAGTTCCATACAAGAAAAAATGCTTACCATAAAAAATCATACACGGAGTGTATGAAAAAATGTATATCGCAAAATTTCCATATCGGAAAACTATATGGCAAGCAATTTGAAAAGTGTAAAAAATCCAAAATTCAAGGAAATTTTTATCTCAATTTTCAGTCGCAATATCACTTTCATGCTCGCATAAGCCTGTTTCTAAAAAAGTTTTGCATGCAAATGTTTTATTTTTGTCTGCAAAAGAAAAAAACTTGACAAGATTTCTTGTGCCAATCCAAAATGAAAATTTCGATAATTTCATAATAAGGTAAACTTCAATTTGTCAAAAAATTAGGCCGCAATTTTCGACTAGTGAAGTGTTTGACTAAAAACGTTCGAGCCAAATACAAAAATTTACTGTCTTTCTTCAGAGTGAACTATGTAAGAAAATCTCATACAATTATTATTCAAAAGCAGATATCCGTGAGATATCTTCAACTCAACTATCGTGGTTTTCTGAGTTAGAAAATTTTTGGTTATTGTTGACAAAATTCGAAAATAATAACTTTCTAACTTAAGGGAAATTGCTCGTCAAACAGTTTTCATATATGAAAAAATGTTTATCCTAGATTTTTTTCACAATTTACTGTCCGTGTGGAATTGTACAAAATTGTAAGATAAGCTTTTTTCCATATATGAGAGTTGTATGACAAGCCTTTTTGGTCAACCCGGAGGGATATCTGTAACTACCTCCAAGTTTTCTACGGGAACCTTGGGAGCTAATATGTAATAAATTTGAGCACTGAACCAGCGCCATAGTAAATTGCGCAATTTGGTTTAAAAAAGAAATCGTTTCCAGCAAAACTTGGATAAACAGTTTGGTCGACCTAATCAATTGGTTCAAAAGTTTTCCAGTTTTTTTGAAAATTTGCCCCAACCATTAGCAAAAAAGCTAGATCCGCCCTCTTCTAGTATATCATGGATATTGGTAATAACAAAAAGTGTACTTTTAGGTCGTAATAATATATATACACCTTGTTTTGGTTTCAGTAATTAGGAGAACAACTTCTGGTATTACCCACCATCTCATGTCTCTTTTGAGCTCAGTGCTCCTTGGTTTTTTTGGATTTTCAGTATGATCGATTAATCGTGCATTCATGTCCGACTTCTATCCCTGATTTTTGAGAAATGTGACTAATCTAATAACAGCATTGCTGTTGTCCAGTTACTTATAGGCACTGTCTGTATCGATTGCCATGTGTATATTAAGGTTATCTACTCTAACTAGCTAGAGCTTTCAAAATTTTCAGGCTTTTTGAACCAGAATCTTTACCATTTTGAGTTTTTTCATCTGTATCTGTGCTACTTCTGCAGCTTCTGATTTTTTTTTCGTTGTCTTGAACATAAATTTTTCTACTTCCATCAGAAAAATCATTGTTTCAATTCCCTTAATTTTAATTTGGTCCACCAAATCTGCATCTTCTCTCATATCATTTTATCTTAATTCTTCTGAAACTCTTCCGCTAACTTGTTTACTTGTTGGGGTTTACACAATTTTCCAAAATGGTTTATCTCTTTTTGCAGCTCTCTTTCTTAACCTTTTTTCACCTTTCTATTTTTTAAAATTTTTTGCACGATAAAAATGTCTTTGTAGGTGTTATTTATGAATGAATATAAATACGGCAATTGGATGCAAATGAAAGAACTGGTGTTAGATGACAGTTTGATGCAGATCACTGGAATGGCTGAAACATCATTTTTTGTAAGTTTCTGTTTTTTGGATCGTCCAGCTCACGTACAGGTTTGTTTTTTGTTTTAGCCCCTCGCCCAGGTACTGGTTCCCATTGGATAAAGTTAAGGATTTTGTTGCTCTCTCAAGAGTTGAGAAGATTTTCTTGCAGAAAATGTACAATTTGAGCTTCAAACCTCTAAAGTACTGCAATTTTTCTCAAGTTTTCTTCTCTGTTCAGAGATTGCACGTTTTATGGGATGGGCTTTAACGTAATTTTTGCCTCACTTCATTTTAAAAAAGTGTTAAACATACAATTTTCATAAATGACAAACTTTTAGTCATACAATTTTCATATATGGGAAACTTCTAATTTTACAATTTCCATATATGGAAAAATGTTTATCATAGAGATTTCATACAACTTTCTGTACGTATGGAATTGTATGGAATTGTATGACAAGAAGTTTCTCATATATGGAAATTGTATGATTAGAAGTTTTGGTCAACCCGGGTTCTCCCCTGAAGAGTGGTTTGTTTTTGTCTTTGTCCGTGTTGTTTTGTCTTCGTCCCAGTCTGAAAGTTTCTAAGTCTCTTTTGAGTCTTTTGTTACTATGGTTCCTTATAATCGTTATCGATTCTTGTTTGATTTTCATTTCTATAATAGTGTTTCCTTTTGCCTGACCATGTTTCTGGAAATTTGCGCTGTTTGTTTGTTGTTCTCGAAATTTTTGTGTTCCTTTTTGCACTTCTTTTCTTCCCGAGACAGTGTTTTAAACCAACTGTATCCTGTAGTAGTACATTCCTCAATCTCGATGTAAACAAATACTTGCCACTTCATTTTATAGCGCTCCCAGCAGTGATCTGGCTGCTTGGGCAATTTGGGCTGCTTTAAACGTTTCCAGCGACTCGTATGTATCCTGTGCTTTTGTGGACAACTTATACCTGCCGTATAATGCGCTTTTCATGTTTCAATTTTTACCGTGATATCATATCATACAAATCCTTAAACGTTTATTTTATTTTAATTTATGTTTCTGTGTCGATCTTTTTTTGCGATTCGGTTTACTTGTCGTCATGCAGCTTCTACGGTCGTTGATTTCGTGAATCTGGTCGTAGTGTAGTGGCTCTAGTATTTTTTTTTCTTGTAATTTTATGTGCGAATCCACATTTTTCTATACTGCCGCTGCTATCAGAAACTGACCCGATCATATCAAACTTTATCAGCCATGGTGGACCTACTGCATCCTATGCCCAGTATACGGGGTTACTCAGGTCCGTTCCTTTTCTTGGTTTGCGAATCCTGCTGGCTAACGTTTTGTGTTATAATGCAATCTGCGTTAATACGAGTTCTCTCGTAATTCTCATTTCAATCAATTGCAAATTTTCATTTTCGATGAATGTAACAGATCGTTACATAAGCAATGACCAGGGAGCGGATAATAGTTTTAGCAACTAAAAACAACTATTTCCAACTTTTCTGTTGTTTTTTCCCTATAACTATCTATTTTCCAATAAACTTCACAATAGCAACTTTTTCGGAAGTTTTCTTTGTTTGAAGCTCATATTAACGGATTCAACGAACACAGATGCGCTGCAGCTGGCGAATATTAATTATCCAATGGCAGCTCAGCCATCCCTATATAACGTGGCCGACCAAGTACGCCAAAAATTCAAGCTTGCCGATCAATTTGTTGCTCTTTCGAAGAAAGTTTTCCGGAAGTCGCCAAAGCATATCCGAATTTTCCAAAGTTTTGCCCCAACGTTGTCTTTACCACCTAGGCCCATGTAAATTTAACGTTTTTCTGCAAGTTTTTGCCAACTTTTTGAGCAAATTTTCCAGTCAATTTTGAGCAATTTCTTAGTAACTTTTTTGCCTTTTTGAAAGCAACTATTATCCGCTCCCTGGCAATGACGTATTCAGCACCCTGAATCTAAAATATGTTTTTTTTTGTCACGCAGCAACCGATGCTGACCATGACCTTGATTTTTTTTACACCATATTAATATCATAAATCTTTTCAGTATTCTCTGGTTACTTCTATTGCAGTATCACAACGGAGATCCGCTGTTGTTTCCCTAGTTTAAATCTTCATGCAACTTTTATGGTAATTTTCTGAGATGAAAATGTGGACTAGCCCCCTGTCATCAAGCATAAGATCACGTTGGCATCAGTGCACCGATCTTTTGACCGAGAGGCGAAAGATTTAACCACATAATCATCGCTTCAACTCACCATTTTGCTGAAACCGAATACAAACGCATAACTTCTGCCTTCTTGATTTCTCTTAACAGTGTTTGGCTGTTTGGCTTGCTTGTGAATAGGTCGCTTTTTGACGTGTTTGGCCGAAACATCACATAAAACTGTCATTTCAATTATGACCGTATACTTTGTACAAACCCACCAAAACCCCCCTCCTCCCTTCTCCTTCCCCATACCACCTTACCTTCTGAGTTGGAGTAGTTGGGCACTCCTGCTATGGAACTCTCACTGCAACACAATCTCCACACCATGTACATCTGGCCCAATATCCCCTTCTTGTCCGGATTATTGCCCACATCGTCCACTTCGTCCAGCAACTTCTGCTGGTTCCTAGCTCTACTCTACACGTGAACACAATCGTATCAACACATTTCCTACGCAAATCTCATGAAACAGTTTTAAAAGCAAATAGAAGGACACTTGAGTAGTATAGATATACGACACTGGGATCGGGGGGGGGGGGGGGGTGATCCCTACAGGGATCATTGGGTATAGATTCCTAATGATCCCTATGTAAATATTTATACCTAATGATCCCTATGTAAAATATTTATACCTAATGATCCCTATGTAAAATATTTATACCTAATGATCCCCATGTAAAATATTTATACCTAATGATCCCAATGTATAATTTTTATCCCTAATGATCCCTATGTAAAATATTTATCCCTAATGATCCCTATGTAAAATATTTATCCCTAATGATCCCTATGTAAAATATTTATACCTAATGATCCCTATGTGAAAGTTGTGTTGGTTAAAACAAAATCGTACTGGCGATATATTATTTCTTTCCACCACCTATAGCTCGGCAAGCTATGTTGTATTCCAATTGAACTAAAACTTTTCATTGTGTTTTGCTGTTGAAGGTCTTTGCGAATTGGTTCTTTCAATGTTTCTACAAACGCTTTGGTCTTGGTGAAAAGAGATATGAACTGAAATGGTTGAATTATACACACAATCTTCTGAAGTAAGTGTCGGTTAAACGCACCAAAAGCAGTTTGGGGTCAATTCCAAAATGAAAACTCTCAAAACCACTCCAGATAAAATAGTAACACAAAACCAAAAGTGGATTTAAAGTAGCCCGCCATTACCTAACAGTGAACAAACGTGGAAAGTAAGTATAATACAGTACACTAATTTACAACATTAAATTTTGTATTCAACTTGAATCAAACACACAACATTAGAGTTTTTTGTTTGTTTTACGTCTTTTTGATTGCGGTGCTGAATCTTCAACTGCTTCGCGGTCGAGGTACCATTCATCATCCGACGACGAAGAAGAAGTAACTGCATTTGGATCAACCAAATCATCGCTTTCGATATCACTCTCAACAATTTCTGTGACACGAACTCTACCTGGATCTGGAGCTTCATAGCTGGTGATACTATTCAACAGGTCTCTCAACGAACGGCTCGGTTGAGTATCTAACACAAGAAAGCTATCTTCTGACACATAATTCGTATCCTGCGTAAAGATTTCTTCTTGGTTCGAGCTCTCGTGATCCCAGTCGACTATCTCATCTTCTTCCTCGAAAAATTTCAGCCAATCGTCTAAATCTTGATCTTTGTGGTGACTGGTGCTATTAGTCTCACTCACGTTCCTTTCGCTATCATCATCATCATCATCCTGATTGCTATCGGGAAAGATAGAAGCATTTACTGTTCTATAGTGACCGTATGGCAATGTAGAGATACCATCGCTGAGGATGTATCGCTTATCATCATAGGCTGATAATGCGATTTTGTTTGCTCGAACAGTGTTCAGAATATGCCTCTCGGAGATGATGCGAGTATTTTCGGGTCGTACAAGGTTTCCAGACGCGAGAGTTTTGATGTATTTTTCATGAGTTAGCAACCGTTGAGTCACCTTAGTGATTCCTTTTGCTGAGTGCTTCCGTGTATCTATTAAAAAAACGATGCTCACTAATCATTATATATCTAAATGTTTTGTAAACTAATACTTGAAATTGAAGAAAAAAAGTATGAACGCATCCTTTTCAGAAGATCCACACCCCCCCCCTCTCATTTAAAAAAAAGGTGATAACCATTTAACCTATACCTCCCCCCTTACCCCCACCCACAGAAGCACCAAAAAACCTAAGTCATCTCAAAAATTTCACTCAGTAAAAAATTTTTTCACAAAAAATTTTTTTCATAAATTTTTTTTTTTCAAAATTTTTTTTTTCAAAATTTTTTTTTCAAAAATTTTTTTCAAAAAATTTTTTTTCAAAAAATTTTTTTTTCAATTTTTTTTTTCCAAATTTTTTTTTTGATGACAAAATTTTTTTTTCATAAAAATTTTTTTTTTCCAAAATTTTTTTCTAAAATTTTTTTTTCCAAATTTTTTTTTTGATGACAAAAAATTTTTTTTTACAAAACGTTTTTTTTAACATTTTTTTTTTAACCAAATTTTTTTTGACGAATTTTTTTTTAATTTTTTTTCCAACAAAAATTTTTGACATTTTTTTTCTTTCAAAATTTTTCAAAAAAATTTTTCGAAATTTTTTAATTTTTGAAAATAAAAAGCGCTGTTTGAACAATTTTGAGCCGGTATTATTGAAGGAAATGTACTTACTTTGCGATAGTATTGAATAAAGCTTTGGCTTCAATGCAACGAATTCTGTAATTATATCACCCGGGAATTCGTCTCTAAACTTTAAAACTGTAAGTTTGTTTTCTGCATTGTAGAGGAAGTGGTCCGATGGATAATTGGAGAAGTCAAAGTTGTCCAAAATTTCACGTTTCTCGTACAGTTTCTCATAAAAATTCGAGTTTTTTTCCGTTTTTATTTCGTACATTAGGCTGTCAGTGTCTGAGTACAAGAGGTGACAGTTGAAGTTGGGCTTCATAACCTCGTAGTGAAATTTGTACATCTCAAACTTTGCTAGCTCTAGTATACACGCTCCTACAATTGTGGGTACATCCCATCTGATTTTCGTTGGTGCTAATGTCAATGCAACCATGTCTTCGCCAAAAATTTTGTAGGTTTCAAATTCAAACTTACTTATATTTCGCATTGTTTCTTCAGCATCTCGTAAAATCTTGATTTTCATTCTCTTTCTTTTTGACTCACACATTTTTCCATAAATTGAATTGATCAATAGTTTGTACAGGGCTTCTTCAAACTTGTTTTTTGCCGCTTTTCGTTTGTTTGTATTTAGAGTTATGTACGGTTCGAGCCACAATTCTTGTTTGAACTTTACGATGCGATACAGTTTTGTAACGATAATACCAAGCTTCACGTAGAGTTTCAGGAGTTTATAATGAATTATATAATGAGTTTTATCATGTAGAGTTTGTAAAAGTTTTTTCACTTTACCTATTGTGGGTCCACAGTTTTCATTGTTTTTCATTTGTTCTGAGATATTTGTTTGGTATCTGCTCAACCAATCTTTTTGAACAACTTCCTTAGTGGGTGCCAGTGGATAGTCACGGTGACTTTCATGCAACAATTGAGGGTATTTTAAATCAATTTCAACAATATAACCGTAGTCTGAATCGTCAGGGGTTGCTAAAATTTCTTCTATTGACATGGAATTCTCATCTTCGTTTTCTTGATTATTTCTTTCATTTCTAACTCCGATTGTCTCGAAATGACGTGCAGGCAGTTTGTGAGTTTGCATTACTCCACCGTATAAGTTGTTGGCATCAACCATGAAGCCATAGGTAGTATCTTCGCTCGAATTAAATGTTTCGTTCATTTGCCTGTTGTTTGCAGTGAACTGTCGTTTTTCAAAGATTGATGCAGTACCACCTCGCATCATTTTTTCAACCATGTCTAAATGATCTCGATCCGTTAGCAATTCAACATCAGCTTTACATACCCGCTTGAAAGCGTCACCAGCTAAATTGGAAGCGGTGAAATGATGAGCACAATCAAGGCTGTATGTTTCTTAGCTGATAGAGCGGAATTCCTCAAAGACACAGGCTAGGAGCAATGTGTCACATGACAAATATAAGTCATGATAGTCGCGCAGGTTCTGACAATTGAATTGATTAAAAACTTCTTTTGCTTCAACCAAGTTATCAGCACTAATAGCAATTTTATCTCCGTCTAAACTATTCACCCACTTTTCGAGAGGCGGTAACTCTTTTTCGTCAAACTTTTTACGGTCGGTCATGTAATTATAAGGATAGAATCCTTTTCTACGTATGAGAGTTCTACAAGTTTGGCTTACGTTTTGAAAGTGGTTTTCCAGAATTGTAAATTTGTTGTCAGGCAAGTTGTCAACTAACTTTTGTAGTGATGAGTTTAGAAACTTGAAAGAATCTATAAAACGAAGATACTCATAAATGTTTTGTGTTGTTTGATCTTTTCGTGTAATGGTTTTAACCACTACTCCGATAATTAGTGAAATATATTTCTCATCGGTGGATGGAATGACTTGCATTGTACTACGCGAGTCACATTCGTTCAACGCTAGACATATATGATGCATGTCATAATTCTGCAAATTGTGTCCCACGACTGGAATGTAATTTATGTTTCTTCGCGCTAAATTACATTTGTCGTGGGTCCATCCTAGAAATTTTCCCGAAGAGTGACAGTGATCCAGGCACTTTTCTTCGCTTTCACTGAAGTTTTCTTGACAAATCCAACAGGTTAAAGTTTCTTCTTTACGCAGTTGGCTGCGATCTCCCAAATAATGTGGTACTTTCCGTTTATAGATGTAAACGTCTCGGGCTAATAGATGTAACTCTTTGATAAAGTTTTCTAAACAATTTTCAGAGCTGTCAAGACTAAAGAAAAATGGTTCTGAGGACTCATGATCAATAGCAACCATTGAATACCCGGAGGGTTCATGTTTTTCTAGAACGCGAGATGAGGAAATTTGTGGGTTGTTCATACATGTTGTAACGGGATTCAGGAACGATTCGAAATCAAAATAAACAACAATAGGTGCATACCAGAGAGCTTGAAAGTTTTTAAATTTATACTTGTGGCAGCCATTTTCAGCTGTTGGCATTATCACTACAGCTGGTTCATGATCTTTACATAATCGCTCATGCGTTTTATGATCAATTTCATTGTAATGAATTTGAAAACAGTTACGACACAACTGCAGGAAACTTCGGAATTTTTGCTTTCGAACTTCACAAACAAATCGGAGCAGGTCTTTTATCAAAACAAAGTGGTGCATTCCGGGTTCATATAACAAAAGCAGATCCATAATAAAATTATCTGAACTTTCAAACTTTGAGACAATCATTGGAATGAGATCTCCTTTTTGATATTGAAACACGTTTACTTGAACGTTATTAAGTCGCTCGAATTGAGGAATCGTGTTCAAGCTCATAGGCATAACGAAATCATCAGAAGCCTGATGCGTTCCAG